GTGAGCAACTCTTATACAGGACCGGGAGAACACATGACAAAACCAACCAATGAGAACATGACACATGAAACTAAGGAACCAATCAGAACATGACACACAAACAAGGGTAGCACATGGTAAGATCACATGAGGGGCAAGGAACACATGGGAAATGGAGTCCAGAAGACAAGGGCAAGAGTCCGGGGTGGAGTGCCCTCTAGTGGAGTTCGTGGGCACTCCAGCTGGTGATCGTAACAGATATAGAGATACTTTTGCACAAAGTAAAGTAAAGCAAAAATCGTCAATTAGGCACTTATATACTTAGATGTGCAGTTTGACTGAGACACTGTTTACGCATATATGAATATTTTTTAAAACAGTTTTTCCCTGCATTTTTGCCTCTCGTCTACATGAACGTAGCAAAACACTTTACAAAACCACTCTCCAAGGTGGATTTTTTTTTTCACTGTTTTTCTGTGATCGGAAATATCATATGTTTTAGAAAACATGATGTCACAGCATGAACCTGCACATGTCCATTGTATGTTTTTCATGTATTATGTATGTGCTAAGACTCACAGCTGCTCATCAGTTGTTAATTATTGGTCTGTATTTTCTTATTTAATAATGTTTTTGCTATTTAATTTCACTTTGTTTTATTATTACACCCTCATGTGGAGGAGAGAATATTACTGGCGCTGTTCTGCTCCTAAATTCACTACAAACCACATTTCAAAAACAGATTTAGGACTAGAGTCTGGTGAACTAGCAGTTGGTGGGGTGGGACAGTTTCCAGTCGGAGAATTTTAGAATGTCGAGTTCATCACTTCTGTCTATGAATGAATTTCTATGTTCTTGCATTGAAAGAATATTAACAGTAATGAGATTGCCTGTTGATCTTGTGAAAAAAAAGTTGTGCATTTTACAATTTAAGTGATGAACAAAGACAAAGACAAACAAGAAACGCTTTTGGCTTGTCATGACAGTCTGTCTCAAAAATAGTCAGGCAAATTAAAGTGTGCAAATTAAACACACTCCACTTACCCCAAAACACATCAAGCTGCCTCTCACTGAACCTGTAGCAGAAGACCTTGTTACAGGTTTTTACTGTGCCCAAGGCATACCCCACTGTTTGAGACCTATAGATGGGACACATAGACATTATTCAGACACCCACCAATTCCACATATTACCTAAACAGAAAGGGAACCTTCTCACTGAAAATACAAAATACCTCTGACTCTAAATATAGATTCATTCACGTTGTGTTCAAATGGCCTGTGCATGTTCATGATGCTTGTGTTCTTGCTAATTCCAATCTGAACACGTATTTTAAGAATAGCAGCATCCCGTCCTTGAAAAGACAAACTGTAGGAGATGAGACCCAGCATACCCCTCAATATCCCTTACCTCAGGTGTGTAGCAAAGGTGGAAGTACTATCTTTAAAACAGTACTTTGGCATGTGCCTATGTCAAGGCAGAATGAGTACTGAATATGCCTTTGGCTGACTGAAGGCAAGGTTTGGAGCACTGCAAAGTGGACGTCAATCTCAATGACCGGGTGCATATGTGTGTGGAGGATGACTCAGGACACATGAGGAATTTTAACAGAGTTCTGGGCTTGCATTTATTTTTTGTGTGCACTGTCTAGTTATTCCAATCCCACTTTCAGATGGAATGATATTCTTGTCATGTTGGGATTCAACCTGAGAATCTATTATCTTGGGCAACACTTCCTTCAACAAGTAGTTGCTTCCCTTGACCTGAAAATTGCACACAGCACCAACCTTGAAAATGGACTCTTGTTTTTAAAAGCATCCATGCCTTGTGTGAGGATCAAACGCACAACCTTCAGATTATGAGACTGATGTGCTACCTACTGCGCTAACGATGCTGGCGGAAGGTTTCAAGTGTCATATGGGAAATTGATCGAAGTTGTGCTGTTGTACCCATGTTTATTGACGTTGAATTTATTCGGAATTTGGAGGCCAAAATCTCATGATCAAGGCTAAAATAAAAACATTTCAAACCAAAGACGCAAGGGAGCTTAGGTTGATTTAATGCATAAAAGCCTTGAAGATCAACTACTCACATTTTAATACATGGGGGTCAAAATTCCACCATTTGGTCTCTCCTAACCAAGCTCTAACCAACTGAGCTTGCCTACTCGTGTTCTTACACATGTGGGTCAAAACACCACCATCTGCTCTGAAAGACCACTTCTACCCAGCCTCTAACCAATTGGTCTAACTGAACAATCAAACAACAAACGCTTCCTGAGGCATGCCTCCCAAGCGGGAGAAGCAGGCTGGGGACCCCATGTAGTGAGATTAGCTAGTATTAAAAGACTGTGGCCATGAAGACCACCTAATAATATTCTCACACTTGGGGCTCAAAGTACCACCATCTGGTTAAAAAGACCACTTGTAACCAACCTCTAAGCACCTGCTCTATCTGAACAATCAAACAGCAAATGCTTCCTGAGCCATGTCTCCGAAGAGGGAGAAGCAAGCCAGGGACCCCATGTAGTGAAATTAGGTACTTTTAACCAACGGAAGCCTTGAAGTTCACTTATTCATATTCTTCCACAGATGTGGTCAAAATAACACTATCACATGTAAAAGGGGAATTAGCTCAAATGGTAGAGTGCTCACTTAGCATGCGAGAGGTAGTGGGATTGATGCCTGTATTCTCCAATGCAGCAACAGTCTATGTGTGTACTGTTTAGTTATTCAGAAGCCACTTTTGGATGGTGTACCCATAGTCAATGTGAGATTCACTACCAACATCATCAGAATATGAGACTACCAAGCACTTTGGGATTTATGTGTGTGGTATGCTCAATTGATCAAGAGGTTGATGATTCCTTGCACTGAAGAGCAATTGAACCCAGACTTTTATTTTATTTTCACTGAATGGGGTACAATGGCACCAAGGACTCTTGTTTTTAAAAGCAGCTGTGCCCCGTGTGAGGATCGAACTCACGACCTTCAGATTATGAGACTGACGCACTACCTACTGCGCTAATGAGGCAAGTCACAAGGCCATGCCCCGGTCAGATCTCTCACGAATATATTACAAGAAAAGAAAGAAAGAAGCAAAACATTTCTTCGATCAGATGGAAATTGCTTTTTTTTGTTTTGTTTAACTAGTACAATTTGTTTGTGAGGATCGCCCTCAAGACCATCAGATTATCAGACACCCTACCTACAACACTCAAGAGGGTTTGTTCTGATTGTACCATGACTCTCCCCTTCAAGTGTAGTATGGGGACTTGATCAAAAACCAAACTGTTTTTGAGTGTGGTGTAGCAGTGATCAAGCGTCTGATCTGCTCGAGTGTGAAAAGTTATGTGTTGGTAGAATTTAGGGAGGACCTTTTTCAGGTTTGCTCTGTTAAAGTCTCCAGCAACAATAAAAACAGCGTCCGGGTATTTATTCTCCAGACTATTTATAGTTTCATAAAGAGTGTCCATTGCATTGCTTTTTATCTGCCTGCGGAGGTATATAAGTTACTGTGAAAATGACTGAACTAAACTCGTGTGGAAGAAAGAACGGACGTATTTTAACTGTTATGAGTTCGATGTCAGGACAACAGTGCTTGGCAACAACAGAAACATCTGTGCCCAAGCAAGAGTTACCTACTGGTACCTACTGCGCTAACGAGGCTGGCAAAGGGTTTCTCAGGCTTGTACCATGAGCCTCGCCTTCAAGTGTCATATGAGCAAGGCTAAAATAAAACACTTCAACAAAAGACACAAGGGACCTTAGGTAGATTTAATGCATAAAAGCCTTGGAGATCACCTACTCACATTTTAATACATGGGGGTCAAAATTCCACTATCTGGTCTAAAAGTCCTCTCCAAACCAAGATCTAATCAGCTGAGCTTACCTACTCATCTTTTTACACATGGGGGTCAAAACACCACCACCATCCGCTCTGAAAGACCACTTTTAACCTGCGTATAACCAACTTGTCTAACTGAACGTTCAAACAACAAATGCTTCCTGAGGCATGCCTCCCAAGTGGGAGAAGCAGACTGGGGACCTCATGTAGTGAGATTAGATAGTTTTAAGAGATTGAGGCCATGCAGAACACCTACTCATATTCTCAGTCTTGCAGTTCAAAATTCCACCACCTGGTTAAAAAGACCAAATGTAAACAACTTCAAAGCAACTGCTCTAACTGAACAATCAAACAAAAAATGCTTCCTGAACCGTGCCTCCGAAAAGGGAGAGGGTGGTCAGCTACCTCATGTAGTGAGAGAGTTTTAATGGACTAAAACCTTAAAGATCATCTACTCACATTCTTACACTTGGGCTTCAAAATACCACCATCTGGTTAAAAAGGCCACTTGTAACCAAACCCTAAGCTACTGTTCTAATTGAACAATCATGTAGTGAGATTGGGTAGTTTTAATGGACTGAAACCTTTCCTTCCCTTGTCTCTGTGGATTCATCGGCACAGAATGTTTTGGTAAACTGGGATGTTTGGATGCCCTTTCAGTTATGCTCTCATAAGAAGTGTTGCTGGAGTACCTTCTTGTACTCTGCTTGTGCATATTGTACATCATTTTAAACCATTACAGGACAAGAGCATGCCTTATGATATGTGTTCTCTCTCTTGTGCTCTTTCTCGCTCTGTCAAGCCACACGTTACTCCTGCTTCCTCACGAGATGCAGACCCTCCTGTATTGCCTGGCTTATCCTGAAGCTCTACTTCAGCTTGGAGCCTCCTTCACTTGAGAATAACTCACTACTGATAAGTATGGCCCACATGGATAACCTAAAGTTTGCTGTGAGGTTGCTGTGGATGGTACTGCATGGATCCCCTAAAGACCACTGTGGATGCTCTCACATGGACAGCCTAAGGATTGCACTTGCTCAAAACTATGCACAAGTCTTTTTCTTTTCACATCTATTTTGACCCTCTTGGCTTTCCACTTTCCTTATACGTTCACACTTCTGGCTTTGTAATTGATCCTCTTTCTGATTTTGTGTTACCATGTGCACCTGTTCCTTATTTCCTGTCTTGTATTTAAGGCCTAGTTTCCTGCATCTTTTTTTCTTCTTCAAAGTTCCAGTTGCCAAAATTTTATCTCGAGGCTACTGAGGTTTAAAATCAGAGCTTTGTTTCCTGATCTTTTCTTTTGTACACTTATTGTTCAGTTTTTTAACCTAAGCTGAAAAGGTTTTTGAACCAAATCAAGCTGTAGCCACAATTCACAATTCCATGCCCTGTTCAGATCTCTCACAAATATATTACAAGAAAAGAAAGAAAGAAGCAAAACATTTCTTCTATCAGATGGAAATTGCTTTTTTTTTGTTTGTTTAACTAGTATAATTTTTTTTGTGACAATCACCCTCAAGACCATCAGATTATCAGACACCCTACCTACAACACTCAAGAGGGTTTGCTGTGATTGTACCATGACTCTCCCCTTCAGGTGTAGTATGGGGACTTGATTAAAGGTTGTGCTGTTGTACCCATGTTTCTTGATTTTGAATTTATTTAGAATTTAAATTTTATTTAGGCTAATTGTGGTACCATTGGACCAACAGCTTTCATTTAAAGGTGTACCCATAGTCAATGAGAGAATCGCTACCAACATCATCAGAATATGAGACTACCAAAGCACTCTGGGGTTTATATGTGTGGTATGGTCAGTTGATCAAGAGGTTGATGATTACTTGCACTGAAGAGACATTGCAATTGAACCCAGACTTTAACTGCATTTTCTCTGAATGGGGTACAATGGCACCAAGGACTCTTGTTTTTAAAAGCAGCTGTGCCTCATGTGAGGATCGAACTCACGACCTTCAGATTATGAGACTGACGCGCTACCTACTGCGCTAACGAGGCTAGCAAAGGGCTTCTTCGGCTTGTGCCATGACCCTCGCCTTCAAGTGTCATATGAGAAATTGATCATGAGGCTGTGCTCTTGTACCCATGTTTCTTGACTTTGAATTTATGTAGAATTTTAAATTTTATTTAGACAATTGTGGTACCATTGGACCAACAGCTATGTACCCATACTCCATGTGAGGATCTTCCTCAAGACCATTAGAATATGAGACCGCCAACACTTTGGATTTATATGTGTGGTATGCTCAATTGATCAAGAGGTCTATGATTACTTGCACTGAAGGGAGAGGGCAGTTGTACCCATTTTTCTTGACTTCTAATATATTTTCACTAATTGGGGTACAGGTGCACCGACATCTCTCATTTTTAAAATTTCAGATTATGAGAGCACTTGTGGTAACTTTCGATCAACAGCTCTCATTTTAACATGCATCCATGACGCCTGCATTCTCCAATGCAGCAACAGTCTATGTGTGTACTCTTTAGTTATTCAGATACCACTTTTGGATGGAAGAATGTTCTTGACATGTTGGGATTCAACCAGAGAATCAATTATCTTGGGCAAGCCTACTTTCAACAAGTTGCTTCCCTTGACCTGAAAATTGCACACAGCACCAACCTTAAAAATGGCCAGTATGGGACTGAACCCACGACCTTGGCGTAATTAGCACCATGCTCTAACCAGCCAAAACAAAGAAGAGGCTTTTCCTGAGGTGCTCCTCTGAAGAGCAACAAGTTGGCCAGGGTAACAGATTACTTATGCTTGGGAATCTTCAATGGATGGAAGCCTTGAATATCACCTACTCATATTCTTACACATGGAGGCCAAGATCTTATGATCAAGGCTAAAATAAAAACACTTCAAACATTTGTTGTGCTTGTACCATGACCCTCCCCTTCAAGTGTAGTATGGGCACTTGATAAAAGGTTGTGCTGTTATACCCATGTTTCTTGACTTTGAATTTATTTAGAATTTTAAATTTTATTTAGAACAAATGTGGTACAATTGGAACAACAGCTTTCATTTAA